CTCGTCTGTTAAATAATCTTTTCATTTTCAATAAAAAAAAGACAAATGATTAATTTAGGTTCGTGATGGGAAAATGCTCGAAAATGAATTTGAACCATATTTAGTAAAATATTTGTTTTTTTTTATTAATTGAATTAATAAAATTTTCTTATAGCCATCAAAAAATGCATCTGTTCTTACCACATAATCACTTGGAACTTCACCTGCTGGCGTTGTACCACCACCACATATGTTGCAACGTAACACTACAGCAAGTTAGTTAAATTTATATACTGTAAAAAGCAGGATTGTGACAGACGAAAGATGCTAAGAATGAGGTCTTGACCAAAGAAGATAAACTTGAAAATATTCTATTTCTAAAATGAACATAGCATTTTTGATAAAGACAATCATTATTCAATATTATCTTTAAAAAAAACTCTTGTTCGTTGATAACCTTTATATGAGTTTAATTCTCATCATTGATCATTTTATAATTATTGATCTTTTTGTTTTAGATGAAGTTGGTCCACCACCTACTCTTTTACCATATCAACCAGGACCACCATCTAATTATCTTGAACATATTCGTTCTGGTCGAAAAATGCTCGAAGAAGTTTGTAACAAACATTTTTCTCAAAAATCTTATAGTTTTTTTTTCTTTTTTATTATTTAGCAAGAAGAAACTGATACAAATGCAGCAATACATGAAAATTGGACAATTGAAAATGCCAAAGGTCGCCTTCATCAATATTTACAAAAGAATAATCTTTCACAAGAATATAAATATACATCAAGTGGACCAGATAATCTCCGGTTTGTTTAATATTGATATGAGAAAAAAAAAATTTTTCTATGGAAAAAGTGATAAATGTCCATACTTCGATAATTGATAAAATAATCTAATAACAGAGATCAATCGATTTTACTTTATATTCAAATGAATGAACACAAAACAATTTCATAAGTCAGATTGATTGATCGAGAAGTGAAAAATGAAAAAAAAAATATAAATAAATGAAGTATGGCATTAGTCACTTTTTCTTCCATTATAGAGATTTTTCAATGATCAAACATATTCTAGAACATTTTTTGCTGAATTATCTATATATATCCGAGAACGTAATCAAAGTAAGTTAAGAATTGAAATAAAAAGAAGGAATAGATTTTATTTTTGTTATAGCAATTCATGCACGAGAAAATGGATCAACAAAACAAATTGCTTCAAAAAGTTGTGCCCTTGCACTTGTTCGACAACTTTATCATTTAAATATTACTGAAACATTTACTGGAGAAAAAAAGAAAAAACAAATTGAAAAAGTAAATTCACCTGGTTGTTTTTTGTTTTTCTAAATCGTATTTTAAAACTATTAAAAACAAATAGAAGAATTTCTCATTTTATTAATTATTAAAAAAATCTATACAATTGAACTT